TTTTTAGATGCAATCTAAAAATAATTAGTGACTAATAGGAAACTGATACCCGGAGGCTGAGTGGTAGCGCTTTTTCACTCTCGTATCACAAGTGATTGGTTCGATCCTTGAGCTGGGCAAGATTGACTCAGCCTTTCATTCCTTTAGTGCAGGGGTGTCAAACTTAAAAGCTAACTTGGGCCAAATAAACAATGATTAACTTTAGGTGGGCCGCAAAAAAAAAATCAATGTTCATCGAAACAAATATTTTTATTTTGAATAGCACATTGTAATAAACATATATAAAGTTAAATTATTGTTTGATACTTGACATCTCTTCTCTGCTACTATCTTTCCTATTTCGGGAGAAATTTTTTTGGCCGAACCTACTTTCAAAATTGACCCAACATGAGCGTTATTAATACGGTTTCGGACAGGAGATTTATTTCCATTCATNCTTGCACTGATAAGTACTTCCAAACATGGAAATAATTTCATATGCGAATTTTCGAGTATTTTCAAACCTTGCTGGTAAATATTTGTAAAATTCAGGTATAACCACTTCAATGAATTTTGCCTTCAAATTTGAGTCGCACTGAATCTCAATCACTTCCATTTACATACTACTGAGTCTATATTTATTGAGAAAATCGACGAACACAAACAAAATTTTGTTTTCCGAGGAATTAAAAATCTTTAAACCTTGTTTCAAATTCCGTTCGAAGATTTGAAATTTTTTCTGCGTTTTTTTTATACGATGCAGTATCCCTGGAATGGCAGGTGCCGCAAGCCAGTTAGAATTTTACATTTTCGGGCGTACAATTTAAAATGATCCGTATAGTTTATAAATAAAGTATATTATAATTTCATATGCTAGTTTCCTTTCTAATTCATATTTCTAATTTATTTTTACTTTGCGTCGGATATATTGACTGGGCCACAAAAATGTTCATCTCGGGTCGCGAGTTTGACACCCCTGCTTTGGTGGATCGATAAAAGGAGTACCAAGCATGCTTGTGAACTAAAGACTAGAAGTTCCACGTTCGACTGACCATCCAACAGGAACATCTGCTCTTGCAGATTCAAAGGTAAAAAAAACTGACATGGGCGCCGGGCTGTCGCTCCACTGAGTTTAGTTTTAATAGAAAACCAACATTTAGGAAGCAATTAAGATTAAAGATTGTGTGTGTGTGCAGAGTATGATTAAGTACCATCACTGATTATTTAATATACAAAATAACAGGTTTCTAATAACTCATTCTTACAACTATCTTAATGCTACCAGAAAAAAAAATAATTTGTCAGTACTGTGAAAGGTTTTATAAGTTCTGAAAATAGTTAAAATGAATACAGACTGTATTTGCGCAACGCGTTTCATTATTGGCTTTCTGTGTTTTGACACAGATTCGATGATTCGTCACTATAGAACCAACATGATTCAGCGCTAAAACTTATCCTTAAAAGATAAAATACTGGCACTAAGAAAATGTTATTTCTATATTTTTGTGAGGAAATAAACTCCCTGAAATGAACTAAAAGAACATGTGATGGCGTGTCGTTGGATCATCTTTAGGCATGTTGCCATTGTGCTGCTCTTGTGCGATGTAAATAAACTACTACTATTACTGTCTCTTTTGCATGCCTGGATACTTGGGAGCCTCCTGTCATTTTTCTATATTTCTATCTTCCTTAATGTTTGTTTTTATTTAATTTCAGAGGAGCTTGAAGTCAATCGCCTTAGTACTATCAAAATGAAGCCATCGAAGATATTTTAGAGCTGAAAATCAATTTTGTAGACTTGCTGCATCTTTTAAAGTAGTTTTTTGAAATGTGTTCATTTGTTGTACACTTAAAAATAATAATAAATTATTTATTTTTCGTTGTTCCTCTTTGATCATCTTATAATTTATCACCTTACTGTAACAACTGCTGCCCTTTTTATATCTCTCTTAAAATTAAACTAAGCACAATAGTGGTTAATATTTAAGTAGAATTTTTTTTTCACCACTTGTTGTAACTTTGAGTTCAATAGTTTTTAAATTTAATACCATATTAATTTAAAATAAAATTTTGGTCAAAGTCAATATACGTCCCGCAGTAAACTGATCGAAAGGGCACAGCTCCCAGTAGAACCCCAAAGTCAAGCATCACTGGCTGCAGTCAGTAAGTGGGTGGGTGACCACTTTGATCAGTCTGCGTAAGGACCTACGGTGCGCGGTATTGATCCTAATTAAAGTGTTCTACCGTAAAGAGCTCGACTTCGTGTGCAGTTTGTCGGGCTACTAAAGCAGGGAAGCCATCCACTCTGCACAGGATCAAAATTGGGATGGCAAGTCTTCGGATCATCCTCAGGGATGTTTCAGTCAATATGCATCTCCAGTTCATAATTGCATCATATTTGCTCTGTATGTTATAAACTTTTGATATCAATAAAAAGAAATGTAATAAACTTTTGATATCAATAAAAAACAATGTTGGA